CCCCCCCCCCCCGGTCCTTCAAAGAAAGACGAATTGCCTACATCATGTGGAGTTTTTTGTTTTTTGCCTCCATCGCTTTGACGGAACCCGGTGGGTACTGAATTCCCCAGCGAGTGTTGAAGTCATGCGCGGTTTGTTAAATAGGCGAGAGGAGAGGGCAACGCATGAGTTGTTCGCACGACGTACTGGCCGTCCGATTCCAATTGGATGTATCTGCTTAGAGCGAATGTCGCCTCCATGTCCACCTTTTTTCTTGTTTGGCCCCGGATCGCATGAGTGTAATCTCCTACTCTGACGAACGTTCCATTCCTCTTTGTTTCTATTTCGTTTTTTGTTTTCGTACAGATATGTACCGATTTTTCATGCGACGTGGACATGCACTCTATGAACTGTTCGCCATACATTATCCCCCTTTTTTTCCGTGGAGGAATATTGATTCTTGCTTTCATCACCTCGTTCCTTGGAAGCGACAAGTTGCAACGAAACGAAACGCATCCGTCCGGCGCCGTGTTGATGTTCTCGGAACCTGACGAGGAATTCACTGCGAATGATGTTGTTCAACTGTGGGTTGAGACTCTTAACGATGGTGAATGGTGCCCGCCCCCCCCCGCCAAGCATGCATCTCAACTACGTTGGGTTTACTCGAGGCGGAAGCTAGCTACTGTGTTCTTTTTTCTTGCCTTTTGCATCATTCGGGCAGACGTTGTCGAACACATGGTCGCATGCCTGAACTCGGCCACCAACACCATCGCCACATTCCGCGTTTCTTTTGGCTGGACATGTGGTCTTGCAGGAGTCGGTGGCCGATTTGGAGGGCAAAGTGAAGGAGCTCGAGGGCTTTTGCACGGAGGCTCTGGATGAACTCGATAGAGAAAAGGCCAAGAACGCCTAGGGTATTCAATCCTCGAGGATCTCTTGTTGGACATGCTATCGACGTGATGGTGTGAAAAAAAGGGTGCAGCTGTCGGCGGATGTACTGTATAGTGGAGGAAGAGCGAGGTCCGCAGGAACTCCACCCTCTTCCTGATGGAACTACGCAGATTCCACTGCATACGATGCTACGGGAGTGCGGGTTAGGCCACTTCCTGTCATTGGTCGAGTCTTGGGGTCATTGCTTTTGTCATTGTGGGATAGCTGAGGGAATGCTTTGGAAGCTCGTTCAGCAAATCGGGTGGTAGAGCAGTTTGAGGGCATCGGTAGCGCCGGTGCCCGCGGTAGTGACAGTGACTCACTCGTGTGACACACATAACGTGGAGTTGATCAAGTTGCATATTCTGAAAATGTAGTGCCGATGTGCTGGCCTGGCAAACGCCAGCACGATGCGATATCGAGTACAGCAGTGATCATGTTTTTGTTTTCTGTTGGTGGGGACAGGTGGGCAGACTCTTGTTGTCGTCACATCAAAACCGTTCCGATCTCTCTACCCTGCACAGTGAGTGCATCCGCGGTTGTTTGCTGGTTTACAGTTTCATGCCGTTTCGACGGCATTTGTGGTTTCTTGCGTGGTGAACGGCCCGGACTCACCCTATGATCCGAAAAGTTGTGCTAACAAGCTTATTTTCACTACCATTGCTGTAGGGCTGATCTGTGGTTGTCAGCGTACGCTGCACCACCTGTTCGAATGAGGTGACACGAGTCTATCACGTCACCACCCGATACTCTCGCGTTTTGGAAACGGAATCCGAGCGCACGCGCTCACCACGACGTACACAACGTTTCGTACCCTTCCGTGCGCGTGCGTAACAGACACACGTAACACACGGAGATGCATATTCCGCACCACATCGCCTTCCGCACGATTGGTCGCTCTTGGGTCCACAAAACACAGCAGTGGTACGGCTTTGGGCAAGAGCGCGCACGCACAACCAAAAATAACAGGGTACAAACACGGAACAAACCTCCAGACAGAGAGCATTCTTCGTTCCTCGATACAAATATGAACTCAATCTTCTAGAATGATTTTGTCGCAGAAGGGTTGTTTTGCGCTAGAGAATATGGAGCAAACCTCCAGACAGAGCGCATTCTTCGTTCCTCGATAAAAAATATCAACTCACTGTTCTAGAATGATTTTGTCGCAGAAGAGTTGTTTAACGCCAGAGAATATTGGCATGTCCGCGCTACGATGTGACATACCGGCGAACAAGGCAAATGCAAGACTGTTGGTGTCATCGACCGAGCGAGAGCGGCCGCTTGTTTTCACGCGCTCCAAACCAACCCGAGAGGGGCTACAGAGGACCTGTCCCTGCTAACTTCAATCGAGAGCTACTAACCCGCACTCCACGTACATTGAAATTCCGGAACACTAGACTACGTATTTTTCATGGTGAGGACGACCGATAATCGTACCTGCCGTTTTTCATGTGTGTCAATGCACGACATTCGGGTCATGAGCCCCAAAAAAGTCAAGGATAACACATACGTTGGAAAAGTAGATCATACGACCTACACGCACCCCGTACTTCATGTTTCTGAGCGGGGGGGGCTTCTATCAACTTCAGGTTCTGGGCGCGGGCACTCGGAACATCGCCTGCGCGAGGGGTAACCACGCCGAAGTCCTTTACGCCACGGACTCTGCCAGACCACGGCCTTCTATTCTCCTCCATCTTAACCGCACACCAAATCGACACCATTTCCACCACGGCGGCGCCAAATAACACCAAATTCGTCACCACAAGGATTCCTGCAGTCTCTGGGAACCTTCACGCTCGTCCGACACATCAACTTTGAGTAAGAGCACCACGAACATGGTCACGAAAATTAAGATGTGCTGACACGACCCCTCGATCAAGCAACTAATTCACAATGGTCAACCGCATCACCATATCCATTTCTACCTCGACCCCTCCGTTGGCATCGTATCGAAAATTTATTTCTTCTCCTTATGACGCCTGTGGTAGGAAGCTTAACAGATATCCGATCAACACGAGAAGTCTTTGATCTGCTGAATGATGGAGGCGAATCGGTGCTTTGGTAGGTGCTTGGTCGCGATATCAGCCAACTGGTGCTCGCTGGGCCGGTGGTGAAGAGTGATTTGTCCCCGCAGTACTAGCTCCCGGATGAAAAAGTACCTCAGGGCCACGTGCTTCGCGCGTTGAGAGTGCATGGCATTCCCGGCCACTGTCAGCGCTCCAGTGCTGTCGCTGTTGATGGAAACCGATCCGAAGGTCTTGAAGTTGAGATTCGTCATAAAATTTTTGATAAGAGTCTAGACCACCACTCTATCTTGGCTTCGACCGTGCTTTGCGCGGTTAGAGTTTGAGTCTTCGCACCGCAGCTGATGAGTCCTCCAGACAGGAAGAAGAGATATCCCGTGGCAGGTCTTCCGTTGTCAGGGTTTGCTCCGAAGGATGAATCCGTAAACGTCGCTAGCCGAAACTGTCCTCTCCTGTAGACGATAGGAAGAGCTGGATTACCCCAAAGGTATCGCAGAACGTGCTTGGCTGCTGTCATGTTTACTTGCGCTGGGTTGCTGCAGGCCTTGGACAGTTGTAGGGCCGCGTAAGAGAGGTCGAATCGCGTGCACTGGGCCAGGCGGAGGATGCTTCCTGCCATCGACTGGCAGATTTTCTTGTCCGTGGGTCCTAGGATTTGGTCCTGAGGTTGATTCGTGGAAATTTCCGCCGTGTTTGACGTCGGGTTGGGTTTTCGTCGCTTGGCAACGACGTTGTTAAACAAGTCGCCCCCCCTCGGTGTTTGCCATCGGGGTTGGGTTTTCGTCGCTTGGCAACGACGTTGTAAAACAAGCCCCCCCCTCGGTGTTTGCCATCGGGATCGGGTTTTCGTCGCTTGGCAACGACGTTGTAAAACAAGCCAATTCACTTCGGAAGCTCGGCAACCAGGTTTCCGTGTTTTTTTTTACCTCTGTTTTTTTTTTTGGCGGTAACCATAATGGTGGTCAAGTAGATCATGTTGTGGGGGGTCGAGAACCCTCACTCCGCACAAGGGGGATGATCGCACCACGTCGTGTTAAAATGGTCGAGCACCCTCGAGGCAGTCACACAGTGCTTACAACTGTCTCTGGAAATGAAAGCACCAGAAAATAAATTAGTCTAAGTCATACGCAGCTGTCATTCGACGCAAGGAAGTAAGCACAAGACGCCGAACACCCTTAGCAGGATGCAGCGCACCCTTCATGCGACTCGCCGAATATCTCACGGCGCTTCGCGCTTGGTGA